TATTAGTCATAAATTTTAGTAATAACTAAAATGGCTCTTTAAGTTCAATAAAAATTGAATAAAAATTGAGTTTGCATTGCCATTCTGATTGGTAAACAAATAATAGTGATTTTTCTGAATCATTTTCAGTAAACTTCAAATCATCTTCTTCTTCATTAATGTCTTCATTTTTATGTATTTTGTCTGCTATGTTATTTAATGTGTAGTTGTTTTTAGGTCGCAAAAAAATATTTACTGATGGATCCTCATTTTGCCACGTTTTTATTTTAACATGAAGGCATTCCTGGTCAATAAAAGAAAGTTGTAATTTCTTTCGTGCTTGTACCATATGCGATCGAATAATGTTGTTGGTAGGGAAAAATCACCTATTTCTTAAATCAGGCATAGATGTTTTATCAAACATGTCATTTTTAACAAAGATTTTTAGTAGGCGTTTCATTTCGTGTATACTTTTTACTTCATTGGCATAATCTATTATTTTTTTAGATAATCTAGGATCAATTTCCTGTGAAATACCAGCAAGCTAAAAAATTAAAAATAATTTTTATTTTTAATTTTTAATTTTTGAAAAGGATTTCAACCAGCCAACAACAGTAGTCGAGTCACACTTTATGGTAATACATTCGAATCCCTATTTTGTTGGTAGATTGATTCCTTTTATCACAGCTTCTAACTCTGCGAGGTTAATGTGAGCCGCATCATCTTGTTTTCTCAGCCACGAGTAGTCTTCTACTATTTCCCTAACCACTTCCAGAACTATGCCAACAGCTAAACTGCTTGCATCGCACCACACTGTTACTTCAGAAGTGTTTTTTACGTTCCATGACCCATGAACCGGATCTTCCTTTGTAAGTCTTTCATTTAAACTGCTTACTAATTTGACAACACCATTGTTCACCAAAGTGTCCCATCCACAACTACTCGAAACCCTTTTTAGATAGCTGCACAAAGGCGCAACCAATTTGCTATTGGAAAATGTCCAGTCAGCTGTCCGCACCAAGAAAAGACTTGCGGACGCGTCATTTTTCCATCAGGAACTTTGAGTATGTTGTCACGTTTCCAGCGCACTTGGTTGCATTGTTTGTACACTCGCAATCCAAGCACACGCCCACCAACAAGTTTTTCTGGCAGCTTAGAATCCAAGCCATATTTTTTCAAGAGTTCTTGAACTCTGCAACTCGACATTATGTTATTATTGACAATGATGTCATCAATAAATGAATCTGTCCCAGACAACATAATGGTATAAAATACAAAAACATTGATACGCAAGGAAAATAGGTTGATAAATAAAAGTTCCAGCGATGCCCAATACATAAACATGCTATTTTATTTGTAAAATTATGATTTAATAATTTATAATTAATGTTTATTATAATAATTTATCAAAATGTTTATTATAATAATTTATAATAAACATTTTGAACACTTTAATTTTCACATCAACCTCAACTGCAATACAGTGGTATACCACTAATGATAATACTTGGTGTATTTTAATTGACATATTAAACAATATTATCCATGCAAAATATCATCTTACAATTTGGTAAGTATAGTAACTATATTAACTAAAGTATACTATACTATAATACTTAACTTATACCCAACAGCTACATGACTTTAAAAGTGAATAGCTAAATATTTATCAAAAATTCTTTTTGAAAAAAAAAAAAATAATTTCTAAATTTTTCAAAACATTTACTTTATAAACAATTTAATAATAAAATTTAACTTACTTCTCTAACAGCATGGTTTCTGTGTTCTGAAATGTCATCAATAATTAGCTTAATTCGCTTCTCAGTGAATCCAATGTCGCTCTTGTTCTTGAGCAAATTTTTTATTTTTAAAGAAATTTTTCTCTTTTTCCATGTGTTGGGTTCAGCAAGGTTTAAAATTATGAAAACGGAAATAAACAAAAAAGAGGTAATTAATGTTACAGTTTATGCAGTGACATGCCCAAAAAAATTATACAGTTTATGCAGTGATATGTCCAAAAAAAAAAAGTTACATGGATAGAAGTATGTTCAAATAAAACATAATAAGCATTACTAAAACTCCGGTCTAGACCTGCATTTAAATAAATTACATCTCAATTTTGTCTTATTAAAACAACGCTGCGAGTGTGTTTTACTTATATGGCTTTGCACTCTTTTTGCGTTGAATTAAAAGTAGTTCTAATATTGGCGTGAATTATAAATTACAAAACATGTTTAAAATGCTATTCTTAAAATTTTTTTAATGTTGGTGCATTATATATAGTACCAAAAATTCTTATTATCTTAGTAAATCACTTTAAAATTACCATGTAATCCTTGAAGTATATAATTTCCTTCAAAATAACTTGGGCTGGGCATTCAAATTTTTTTGTGTCCTGCACATTAATATAACTCCTCATACAAGAGTGTTCAGTTATCTAAAATTATAAAATAAGTACATTAATAACAGTTATTTATTAATGATTAATTTATTATTTGTATCTTTTTTTATTGATAATAAAATTTACCTTTGTTTTTGTCTTATTCTTGTATGCTTTCTTTGCTGCATCATTACGATCTATTCCATGTGAGCAATCCAAAACCTTGCGTGCTAAAACCATAAATGGAACATTTGCATAGCATCCTTCACTTTCCCATAACACTTTGTGCTTTTTACTATGAACATCTAGATATAACACAATTTATTTTACACAAATACATAGCGAACTGTGTACTCTAATTCATGTTGTTTTATGAAACAAAAGGCCTCATTTTCATCATTATAAATAAATGTATGGCTTTTTCTGTTAGCTATAAACAACAATATAAATAACTTTACAATTTAAAAGCATTGAGGCTGGTTAGTAAATATGGTCTAAAACTAAATGCTAGTAAATAAATGGGCATACATTTTACAAACTTTTAATAAAATTACTTGAGTATCACTGAAAAATTTATATATTAACATATTTTTTGGAAAATGTTGGAAAAGGAAAAAGTATAACTTTGTGAATTTACCAAGCTTGGTAAATTCACAAAGTTATACTTTTTCCTTTTCCAACATTTTTCAAAAAATATGTTAGTATATAATTTTTTTTTTGTCTTTTAATATATAATATATATTATATAATAATATATAATAATATATAAATTTTAATATATAAATTTTTTAATATATAAGTTAATATATAAATTTTTTTTTGTCCAAGTATCTTGGTCAGGTACTTGCAAGTACCTGACCAAGATACTTGGTATTAAAATTGAAAATAATTTGAACTTTACTATACCCATTATTTGTCCTGCAGCTAAAATAGCTAAGATGAAAGTTTATTTTATAACTTGTATTATATAATAACTGACTGGGGGGAGAAAAAAAAATTTTTTACACAACTATTGCACATCATTTTGAATAGAGTGCTCCATTTTTTTCTGAAATTCTCAGATGATCATCGTAGCTTTTTTTGTAAATTACATTCTCTTATATTAATTTCTTTTTCATATGAAAAAGAAAATAATATAAAAGAATTTAATTTACAAAAAAAGCTACGATAGCTATCTTTTTTAGTCACTGGCACAAATGTAGTAAAAATTGATTCATTCCATTATAATAATTTTATTACCTTAACCAATGTTATCCCGAATCAAAAAATTTATAATCTTTTATATTTTTAAATCTATTTTATAAAAATATTATTTTCGAATGATATAATTATTATAACATGTAAACTTACTATTATCTTTATTTTCATCCATTTAAAGTTTATAAAACATAAAGCACGTGGAAATAACGAATGAAAACAAATACGCAACGTAATTTAACATTACCATGACGTAACAAATAAAATTCGCATAATTAAAAAACACATCCTGACGCATACTATCTTCTGCTTACCAAAAATTTAGCATATTTGCTCGTTTTATGCATTATATTTTTTCTATACATTATATTTACATTATAATTAAAAAGAAAATTTTTTTTGATGTGTTTTGTCACTGTGAAACTCCATTAAAAAGACGTTGTTTTAAAATTTCATTTATTTATTACCATAATAAAAGAATTTTTTTGTATTTTTTTTTATAAATAAATTTACAAAGTTTAACATATTTGTTGAACATATGTTCCAGAAACTATTAAACATATAGTAAATATTCCATTGAGACACTGTTTTCATTTTTAAAATGATCAAGATATAAAGTTTTGTTTCTGCTAGTGACTGTAATAAATGGTTTGAGTTTGATCAAAATATTGGTTTAGTCAGAAACATTTAAAAAGAGCAAACAGGCAAATGGAATGTAATTGATAAGTTTTATTTAGGGAATTAAAAGATTTTAAATCGTTTTTACAGATCCACTCTTTTCCATTGATTTTTATATCTATATTTTATGCAAGCAAAATGACTGATTTTAACGAAGTTTACCCACCGTCAGATATAATAGTTAGATATAAATAAAGATATAATTAGATGTTTAAATGCAAAAAAATGGCTTTATTGTTATGCATTAACCTCATTTTTTAATCACTGATATTTTTTGACTTTGATTTAAAATTGTACACTTGCAATATTAACAATAGTTTCATAATATACATAATAATAACTTACTCTAACAATACCCATACTTGTAAATACTTGTAATATAATACTTATATTTATAATACTGATAAAAAATTTTATTGATATGAACTTTTGCATTCAAACGTTAGTTATAAAACTTTAATTTAACTTGATAACTTTAACATGAATAACAATAACTAAAAAGATAATAGTTATTATATAGATTATAACCATATGCTTATTTATTATAATCGAGTTATTGTAAGTTAAACAAGCTAAAATGTTAAGTTCCAGGTAATAAGTCTTTTTGATATGTATCTTATGTATATCTTGTATTTTGCAGCATGTCAAAGAATATTTCTGCATGGTGCACTCTGACCTGTTGACAATATTTGCATACTGATATGAGTAAAAGTGACTTTAACAACCAGAATGTATTTTTGATAAATATTAGTAATAACAGGTTAGTAAATATAATTATAATGATAATGGTAATAACTTTTTATTATTAGAATTAGTAAGAGACTTATGTATTATAGAACTACATTAACTTCTGGGGACAAATATAATGATTTGAGTAAATATTACCGTTGTTAATTACCTCAATTTAAGTAATGTAAGAAAATATTATTTTTATCTAAAGAATATTTGGCAAAAGTCAGTATTTCCTAAGTATTAAATATTATAAAAAAACATGTGTTTAAAAAAAATTTATCATAAATAAAAAAATAACTATTAGAGTATAAAAAAAAAACACATTTATTATTATGATTTATATACATCACATTAACAATGTTGTCTGTAAAGTAGAGGTTGCAGGTGTTATTTCAGCTTCAGCTATAAACTCATTAGCTTCAGATTAATGCTGAATCTGATCAAGTCAGTATAATTACCTTGATAGCTGATAGGAAAAGAGAATAATATTCCATAAATATTTTATGCAAAATATATTTTTATATAGGAATTTATTCAATGAAAATCTAAAATAGTGATAAAATTTAAACATACATTTTAAAAATTTTAAATAAAATTTGCTAAAAGTTGTTGCTTTTTGTAAATGTTTCCATCAGAGCCTAGGCCTAGGATTCACAATATTAGGGGGCCCAAATTGGGTTTTCAGAGATTTGTTTAAAAAGTGGTGCCCAAAAATCTAAATCCATTTTTAATTTTCTTAAGAGGACCAACTATCTTTTGTTCAAAAAGAGTACACTTATCAAGTATTTCATAGGTAAAAAAAAAGAAGAAAAAACAATAAAAAACTTTATCTTCTTTAAAAAAAATATTTTCCTTCAGTGAATTTTTTATGCTAAATGAGGATGTTCCTCTAATAATGTTGCCACATCCGAACATATTAAATTGCTTATTAAATTTGACTGTTAAGACGGCATATAATGTTTTTACAGAAAGTTGCAACTTCTCACTGCTCCAATAATCATTTCTTTGTGAAAATACCCTTTCAACAGCAGCATTAGTGTCCGGACAACAAAGAAATTTCTATTAAAACTTTTAAGTTTTCATTTGGGATATGTTCTACTCTAAAATGCCGAAAGATATCTACCCATCTTTTTTCAAGTTCTATTTTCTCATTGTTCCATTTCTTCAATTTTTCTTTATTTAAATATAAATTTACTCTTCGAATTTCTTCAAAGAGAAAATTGTCATTAATAACAATATCTTATACTTCCTTTATTAGAAATTCGACTGCTGAAGGAACTTTTTTCCATTAAGTTTTACTATTTATAAGGGTCTATTAGAAACAATTCAATGCTCTAAAGTTCATTCCGGGATTCCATTTTATTCCGGGATTGGAATCTGCCAAAGGGGTCAGTTTATAGGTTTTAATATAGCCTTTAATATTGTATATAGTAGTGTATGTATATATTTTTTTATTTAAATTTACTTTTAATTTGTTTTTTTATATTTTTCTGCAAAAATTGTTTTCTGTCACTCTATCTGAACTTATGTGATAAAGTTTTTTTTTTTCTCTTACATATTTTCTCACTCATCTTATCTCATCCGTTCATTCTCTCTTTTTTTTTTTTTTTTTTTTCTTAGCGTTACTCCTTTATACTTTTGTGCTTATTCCAACTTTTTAAATATTATTGTTCCTTATACTTCTTTTTTTATTACTTGTATTAATGTAGTTTACTTTCTTTATTATTATTATTTTATTTTATTTGTTTATTTTATTAAGGTGTTGCTCCATTGATTAGTTTTTAATATGAGTGACTCCGAACATAAATTTGTAAATTATAATTAAGTTTGTAATTTTTGATTTTATGGTTAATTAACAATAAGCGCATGTGTAGTATGTACAGTAAGTTTTTTTTATCCTTTTATTTAATTAAATAGATGGATAAAAAACTTTGCTGTACATACTACTCATGCGTCAATACTGTCAAGCATGCCGTACATACTGCACATCAAAGATCAGCTTGGGGATTACATACATAAATGTTAGAACCATCTCTTTTCACAAATGTAATTTTGACATTGTTAGAAAAAAAGGTCTGGGGTATCTATCTATCTCTCCAGGTACACAGTACGGCCTCTCAATTATGCTGAAAATAGCAGCCATATGTGTGTGCAAAATTTAAATCACTGTCAAACTTGTGTCTGGTGTTTGCCCTGTCCTCTGACATGCCGGAAACGGCAAACAATATGCATATGTGAAATTCAAATCACTATCAAAATAATTTTTAATATTTAATTATTAAAATTGAAATTAAATAATATTAAAAAAAATGTTTTAGAAATACAAATGAGTACAAATTTATACAAATGAGTACTTTCAGAGTACAGGATTTGAAAAAAGTACTGTTTGTGAAAAAAGAGTAAAAAACTCATTAAATGAGAATAGTTGGTCACCTTAATTGTCTACATAATTTTTTGGTAGATTTTAAAGTTCTTGCAAAAGATGGTTTTATCTATGAAAATATTGAAATTAAAATCAATCTTGCTCTTATCATATGTGATGGACCAGCTAGAGCATTTGTAAAGTGTATTAAAGGACACAATGGTTATAACTGATGTGAATGTTGTGTTTTGAAAGGAGAGTGGTGTGGTAAGATAATTCTTCTATATATTTTACTAATTTTAAGCACTGATTCATATTTTTTGTCATTAAAAGCATTCTGAACACCTTAGTGGTGTGTTAAATTGAATTAAATTTTGGCAAGGTGACAAAGTTTCCTTTAGTCTTTATGCATCTAGTATGCTAGGGATAATGCGAAGATTTGTCAACTTATGGTTAAATTGCCCAAATGTTGTAAATTGTCTTAGATTACAGTCAATATTTTATCTGGCGGATCGTTCCAGAATCATCATTACATTCTAAGAAATTTTTCTAGAAAATTAATATCTTAATTAGTTATTAAAAAACGGAAAGCAACTTAACTTAGACTTTTTATAGTATACACTGGACCAGTTATTTAAAGAGAATGGTTTAGCCAAAAATCTATTCAAACATTTTAGATTTTTCAGTTGTACTTATAATTTCATGTTTTATTTTGTTGAAAAAATATGTTAATTTTGCTTTTCAGCTACTTATTTTGTGCAGTTTTATATGTGAACTTTATCGTAAGGATCAACTTGTGTACAATGTCCATTTATTAGCACATATAGAAAATAATACAGTTGAATTTTAAGTACTTGATAGATGTCCTTCTTTCAAATCCAAAACTTTTTTAAGTTAATTAAAAAATTAAAGACCAAAGAGTTGCTCAAATAAACACGTACAAGAAGATAAATAGAAGTTTAGTATTCCTTAATTTGATGGTAGTAATCAGTGCATTAAGGCACTGTTTACAGTTTAAAAATTATCAAGGTTAAGAGTGTTTTGTTTCAGCTAATAAAAGTGATAATTGTTTTGAAATTACAAAAAAATATGGTTAAGGTAAAAAGGTTTTAAAAAGCAGACAAATCTTATGACAAAAAAGTTATGTTTGAGAAATTTGCAACTTTTTAGTTGTTTTATACATATATATATATATATATATATATATATATATATATATATATATATATATATATATATATATATATATATATATATATATATATATATATATATATATATATATTTATATATATATATATATATATATATATCTTATACTGCTGAGTTAGGTGAGCATGATGATGTCATACTCACCTAATGTCAAATAGCCTGCTGCCGGGGGCTTCAGTACATACATCGATACAAAGATAGAGAGAGAGAGAGAAAGAGAGAGACACAAACATACTCTCTCTCACACACAAACACACACACGCATATATATATATATATATATATATATATATATATATATATATATATATATATATATATATATATATATATATATATATATATATATATAATATATATATATATATATATATATATATATATAATATATATATATAATATATATATATATATATATATATACAGGGTTCATGGCACTCAGGGAAAACCTGGAAAACCAGGGAAAAGTTTTAAAAATTTAGAAAATCAGGGAATACCTGGAAAAGTCAGGGAATATTTGTTAAAAATCTGTAAAATCAGGGAAAACTCAGGGAATTTTGTTCAGTATTATATTTAGCTTGAAGTTATTTTGCAAAATACACATTTTGAGTGTTTATTGTTGTTGAAAATTGCTCACTAAAGTGTTTTTTTAACTTTTACATTATATAGTAACTATATGTTTAGCTAAATGTATAAATAAATATAATAATATAAGACATGACTTCAGAAAAGACTTATTTTCAAGAGGATTGGTTACAACAAGATATTTATAAAGATTGGTTAGTTTCCAACGCACATGCAAAAACTAAAGCTTATTGCAAAAAATGTAAAAAATCATTTGAATTGTCCAATATGGGTATTCAGGCTGTTAAAAGTCATGCAGCAGATATTTACATTAACTTTTTTAACGTGAGAGTGAAAATTAAAAAAAAAATGTTGCTTAATTGATTCATTATTTTATATTTTAATATCAGTTTCAAACACATTGTAATCAACTTTTGATTGCAACCTGTTTCAGTTGTTTTCCTTGTTGGTTGGTTGCTTATATTGTAATTTCAAACTTTGCAAGCTAAACAGATTGAGAAAAAAGATAAAAAATTTTAGACATTTTAATTGTTTCATTATTTATTTATCTTGTTTTAGGTAAGAAGCATCAGTCTGCTACAAAGCCTGTTAGTTGTTTCTTTATTAATGGAAAAGAGTTGCATGCTGAACCACTTGGAAGTGAGGAAAAAATATCCACATTTTTCACCAAAAAACAAGCAACTATTGTCTCTTTAATTAAATCATCGTTATCAACTAATGCTGAGATCATATGGGCCCTGAAATCTACAATGAGCTGCTACTCTAATAACTCATGTGCAAATTTAAATGACACTTTTAAAAAGATGTTTCCTGATAGCAAGGTAGCAGAAGATTTCACTATGAGCACCTCAAAAGTATCATACATCGTTAACCATGGACTAGCCCCATACTTCAAGACACTTTTAAAAGAAGAAATCACAAAGTCTGATTGTTACATTGTATCTTTTGATGAGAGTTTAAACGACATAACCCAAACTTGTCAGATGGATCTACTTGTTCGGTATTGGGATGGCAATGACAAAGTTAAAGTGAGATATTGGACATCAGCATTTCTTGGTCATTCTGCAGCTTCTGACCTTCTTACCCATTTCAATGAAAACTTATCAAGATTTGATTCAAGTAAAATGTATCAAGTTTCCATGGATGGACCCACTACGAATCTGAAATTTCTAGATGATCTTAATAAACACAGAAAGGACAACGAGATGCCACAACTTATAAATATTGGAAGTTGCTCTTTGCATGTAATCCATGGTGCTTTTAAAACAGCTATCGAATCAACAGCATGGAATATTAAAGAAATTTTAAAAGGGTGTTGGCAAGTTCTTCATGATAGCCCAGCTAGACGTCAAGATTATGAAACAGTCACAGGTGCAACAAAATACCCTCTTTTTTTTTGCAGAACAAGATGGGTTGAAAGTAAATCTGTTGCAGATCGTTGCATTGAAATCTGGCCTAATATATGTAAGTTGATTGAGTTTTGGGAAAAGTTACCATCTTCGAAACAACCTAAATTAAAAAGCTTTTTAAATGTAAAAAAGGCTGTTAAAGACAAACTTATTATTTTAAAATTTGAAGTTTTCAGCTTTGTTGCAAGCATATTAGAGCCATATTTGTTGGCATACCAAACTGACAAACCAATGATTCCATTCATGTATAGTGACTTAAAAAAACTGTTACGAACCATACTGAGCTTGTTTGTGAAACAAAATGTTATTGATAATAGTTGTATTTCAGTACAACTAAAAGAAGTTGATTTTCATAAAAAAGATAATCTACTTAAAGGAAATCAAATCAAACTAGGGTTTGCAGCTGAAACAAGACTGGCTGCTTTACAAAAGAAAGATATAATAACCATTGCTGATATTCAAAGTTTTCACAAAGATTGCACTAACATGTATGTTCAATTGATTGAAAAGTTCACGGACCGAACTCAACTAGGATCTATCATTGTACGCAACTCTCAGGTTCTTAACCCAAATGCAATGGTAATAATGAATCAAGAAGATACTGAGAAGAAGTATAAATCTTTATTGACCCACTTGATTAGCTTGAAATATGTTTCACCAATCTTTTCTGATAAAGCTATAAATCAATTTGCAGATTTCTTTAGAGAATCAAGAGTTTATCAAGACATCTTTCATGAGTTCAATCAAGAAAGAGATAGCTTAGATGACTTCTGTTTAAAAAAATTTAACCTAAATAAATATAAAGAGTTTGCATTGACTGTTAAAATATTATTAACACTAAGCCATGGACAAGCCTCAGTTGAGAGAGGTTTTAGTATAAATACCACAGTACTAGAACAGAATTTAAATGAAAAATCAATAACTGCAAGACGTTTAGTCAAAGATCATATGCTATCAAATAATCTTCAGCCACATAGTATTGAAATTACTAGCAAAATGATCATCAGCGTAAAATCGGCACACGAAAGATATAGAAGCTACCTAAATTCAATCGCAGATACTAACAAAAAAGAAGCAAGTCAATTGGCAAAAAAAGTTGTTAGCGATGAAATAAAAGATGTTGAAACAAGGCGAGATCAACTGAAGAAAACCAGTGATATGTTGCAGTTTGATTTTGTAAAATTTGTGGAGGAAGCAGAGGAGAAGCAAGATCTAGGGTTAATTTCTAAAGCTAATGCGATGAAACGAAAAGCAAATGAAAAAAATGAAGAAATAAAGAAATTAGAGCTAGCACTTTGCATCTTAGAGCAAAAAAGAAAAATGCTAAAATAATATATTCGTTCTCACATGAAGTTTATATTTTGTTAACAAAACACATTAGTTTTTTCAAAGCATATATAAAATGTTATTTTTTTAATATTTCTTTTAGTTATCAGATTAATATGGCTCTGTTTCTTGTTTAAAACACCTTTAACAGATTGCTATAAATTAATTAAAGACAGTCTCTGATTTCTTAAAAAATAGTGATAAAAAGTATTTAGGGAACAAGGATTCAGTTGCAATAGTATTATATTTTTCAACATTGATAGGCAAAATATTTAGACTTTTCACCGCACGAACTCAGGGAAAAAATACTTGAAAGTCAGGGAAAATCAGGGAAAACTCAGGGAAAATGGTTTTTCAAAACTGCCATGAACCCTGTATATATATATATATATATATATATATATATATATATATATATATATATATATATATATATATATATATATATATATATATATATAATATATATATATATATATATATATATAATATATATATATATATATATATATATATATATATATATATATATATATATATATATATATATATATATATATATATATATATATATATATAATATATATATATATATATATATACATATATATATATTTATATATATATATATATATATATATATATATATATATATATATATATATATATATATATATATATATATATATATATATGCGTATGTGTGTGTTTGTGTGTGTGTGTTTATGTGTGAGAGAGAGTATGTGAGTGTCTCTCTTTCTCTCTTTATATATATATATATATAATATATATATATATATATATCTATATCTATATATATATATATATATATATATATATATATATATATATATATATATATATATATATATATATATATATATATATATATATATATATATATATATATATATATACGTATATATATATATATATATATAAGCAGAGCTTTTTCTAGGGCGCACGTTTACAAATGTAAGGATTTTTTTTTTATTTAGTATTTTTATTTAGATTTTTTTTTTATCTATTGGATAAGTTTTTAAAAATTTTGGAGCCCTTATGACAGGTTTTTTTTTTTGAATGGGAGGGGGGCTTGTATGTAGTAGTCACGGCACTGTATATAAGATATATACAATGTATATTAAGTTATATACAATATAAATAAAAAATTATATTTATTTATTAATTTTATATAATTTATTTATCAGTAACTAAAGGAAGGTTATCAATTTACACGGCTGTTTCACTCAATATAAAAGCGAGCCTGACGTCACGAGTTTATCAAAAAAAAAAGTATTTCCGCATAAAAAGTATAAAAATTCATTAACTTTAAAATAATAGTATTTTTTTTTCTATAAATGCTTTCATCTTCAAATAAAAAAAATATAAAAGATCTATCTTTCCTTGTTAAATAAACATTTACATTAAACGGAATAAAAATGAAAGCTGTAAAAATATTGTTAATAATTTGGCATCACTTTTCTGATTTTTGCGATTTTTACGCAAAACCTGTCTTAGGCCAACTAAGATTTGATAACATAGCTACATGGTCGATGGTTGAAATTTAGAACAGTTATTAATGAATGTCTGTTCTATCTAGATTTCCACAGACTTTGCAAGTTTTTATATAGAAAGTTAGTTTTTAATGCATTTATATTTTTGTTTTTATTCGTTTTGAATAAAAAACATAACATTTTTGAAAAGTCTGTGAATTTACTAATACTTCAACCTTATATGAATAAGAAAATCAAAAAATTATTTTCTGTACCTCTAGCTATGTTATCAAATATGTTTTCAAACTTGGCATGTTTAGCGACATTTTTTTTAGTTTTTTTTTGCATAAATTCTTGTTTACATTTTAAAGCGGTGACGCAAACTCTGATCGTTACGTCCCCAATGATTATCGGATGCATTTTAAGAAAACAAACAAAACAAACGAGACACATTTTATAGAATAAATAACAAAGTTTCGCGGATTAATTTCTCTTGGATATTTGACTAATTTCAGATATGTTGATTAATCTGATTTTATCTAGTGCATCTATTTGTCAATATTATTCTATTTAAGTTGTTTGTATTATAATTTTATTACTATATCAATAAAGATTATAAAGCAAAGTTTCGTGGATTATTTCCTCGTGGATATTCGACTAATCTCAGATAAGTTGCTTAATTCTTTTATTTTTAGTGTATTTATTTGTAAATATTATTTTATTTAATTTCTTTTATTATATTATTATTAAAATATCATTATTATTATTTATGTGATGTATGCAACTGAGAGGGAAATTTTGAAACTGTACATCGGTTGGGAAAATGGTTGGGAAAATGAGTATAACTTTAATTTTGTAAAGCGAGTAATTGACACTAGTAAGATCACTAACAATGTGATTTCAATTTTATTAACAGTTTTTCATCCAAAAGCGTTGTTTACTTTTTTAAGTTTTCTTTTGCCAATTGAGTTTAATATGCCTAATATTGATGTGTTAAATAAAATGTGCCGAAAAATAAAACAAAGAAAAAAAGATTCTAAAAAGTATTTTGAAGCTTCAAAAAACGAAGCATTTTTTAAAATGCAACTGTCTCCAGCTCCACAAACAAAAAAACAAAAAAAATCAGCAGATGCAGATAATTTTTATATTTTAAATAGGAATAAGGAACTAAGTAGTCAAGTTGAACAATTAATTTCTAAAGAAAAAAATAGTGTGGAGCAAATAGATAATTTAAAAATACAGGTATCAAAGTTGGAAACTGAAGTTATATATTTAAATTCTAAAAACAAGGCTCTCAACGCACATTGTAACTCATTAAGTTCTCAATTAGAGACTATGAGTATTAGGCTAAAACAGGAGGAGCAGTTCCAACTTTAAAAAAAAAAAATTAAAAACAGCACACCGTAAATTTGCATCTGCTCGTGCCAAAAATGTAAGATTGCTAAAAAAATTTAAATTTGAAAAAAAAAATGCAAAAATCAGTGATATAAACAAGAACAGTTGCCAAATTTGCAAATATTTTGCTAGCAGTGATAAGGATTTAGTTGTCGTTGATTCTTATTTAGACTATGACAACATTGGTTCCTCTGAATTATTCTGTGGGTTTAAATTAAGTAATCCACAGACTATATCAGTTAAAAAGCCAATAGTTGGTAAGAAATATACTTACATTAAGTTAGGAGATGGTAAATCTTATTCTAAGTTAGGTAGGCATGCTGCAGCTAGACGATCTAAACTTGCTTTTATATTCCTTCGATTATTAGCTTGTTCAGATTTGGAAAGTGATTTGTCTATGTTGTTTTGTGGTTCTGTGTCTTGTGAAAAGTCTATGTTTCATTGTGTTGCAAATAAGTTGGGTTTAGTTAGGCAGTTAAGTGTTTCTGATGCTGTAGAGCTGCAGAGCCAATTAAGGATGCCCACGGCTGAATTCCGTAGGCTAAGACGTATTCTGTGTAATCTTGGTGCAAGGATTCTCCCATCTGAGCCCAAGATAAGACAAGAACAAGAAATGCGGACAATGCATGTTAGTAAAGAACATGTTACTGTAAAGTCCATTTTGCTTTATCCATCTGCAAATGAAGCACCTTGTTTAGTACCTGTATTGATGGTCAAGAATTTGATAACTTATATTGAAGAGGTTTTCAATAGTCTGCACGTTCGTGACCACTTCAATTCTGATGTTGGTTTTTGCGAAGAGGTATGGCTCCTTTTTGCTGGGGATAAGGGTGGGAAGTATATGAAATTCCATTTTGAAGTTGTCAATTCTAAATCATCAGGGTCTGTATATGATGTTCATTTATTTTGTATGTATCAGGGTTCAGACTGTCGTGAGAATATTGCCTTAGTTCTCGGGCATTATGCCAACGACATTAAAAGAATTCAGTCGTCATATTTTAAGCTAAAAGGCAAAATAGTCAGGTTGTTCTTAGGTGGAGATTTTCATTTTATCGATGATGTTCTGGGACACCAGGGTTCAGCTGCTAGCTTTCCTAGTTCTACAGACCTAGTTAAGTTGAATTCTCTAAGAAACCATGCTTCTATGCCTCACACACCTGCTAATTGTAACATCTTAAGGAGGACAATACAATCTCTGGAAAGTGCTTACAATGAGAACTTGTGTGAAGATAGACAATGTGGAAACCTAAGAGCTCTAGGTAAGTTTCATAATTCAATTATTGCTCCTGTGATTTTCCCCATAATAACTTTAGATAATGTAGTGCCACCTGTTTTGCATATTATGTTAGGAGTTGTGTTAAAACTTTATAAGTTATTGTTGAAGGAGTGTAAGACTTTGGATTGTCAAGCTGTTTCGTCTTTGTCGCATAATGAGAATGTGAGAACGAATGAATTGTGGGCTGCTAAAAGCTTTGAATGTTCTAAAACAGCAGACTCTTTACGTTTATTAGGAAATCAATTTGTAGACGTTGCAAATCTACAGACTCGTTGGTTAGCTTTTGATAAAAATATTTCTGAATTGGAATGCATATCTCTAAACTCCTCCAATAAAAAAAAAACCTGTAAACAGCAAGAAAAGTGTGCTAGTATCAGGTGTTTAATTACTAAATATGATTGTAACATTGATTGGGTGCAGGGTGGTACGTGCCAAAAATTGTTCCATCAATTTTGTGAAATTATTGGTGGTTCGGAAAAAAATGTATTGTGTGATATAGAGAAGTATGAGTGTTTAGCATGTCAGGGTGAAGATTTAGAATGTCTTGACCTTTATATTTCTGAAAAAATTTCTTTTATACGCGCACAGCGCGAAGCTTTTGACGTTGAGTATATTCGATTGCAGATAGAGTGTGAAGACCTAGAAAAAATATCTATAAGTAGCATGGGGACTCATGAGAGGTCTCTTTATAAGGCCCTTGAAGATATGAAAGTTGAGCGACAAGCTTACCATGGTAATGTATTTGTAGGTAATCATTGTAAAATAGTATTAAGAAACCACTATAAACTTTGTAGTGTTTTGATGATGAAGCAATTAAAAATAGATTTGTACGTGTGTTTAGTGTTTTTAATAACTTGCAACCTATTCTTTTTAAGCGAAAATTTCTTTCTGATGCCGAAATTTCTGAGCTTCATCAATATATAAATTTATTTGCTATTGAGTTTCATGCTTGCTTTCCAAAAGAAAGTATCACGCGAAAAATGCATGAACTCATTTTCAATGTGCCACTATTTGTAAAATTGCATAAAACTATTGGGTTGCTGAGTGAAGAGGAGGGAGAGTGTTTGCATAATAGCGTAAATAAGGAATTAAGGCAGTTGTATTCAGTTAGAAATCAGGAGCAAAAGCTGCATCTTGTTTTAAAACGCTTTGAATCGCACAGCAAAGCTGATAGGAAGCTTCAAGCCTCTAAGGTGAGAAAGTGTGTTGTGTGTTCAGAGCGTGGTGAAAATTCATTTTATAGACAAGGTCTTTGTCTTGTTTGTTGTCATCAAATTTAGTTTAAATGTTTGAAAAGTTAAAAAAAAAAATTAAACTTTTTACATCTAAGATAAATTATATAAGATCCTTAATTTACAAATAAGAGAATTCTATTCTGTTTTAATGCCTGTAATGTTTGTTCAAAATAATAATTTTTTATTACAATGATTTTATATATTAGGTAGATGCCCATTCTGTTCCTATTTTTAAAAGTTTATTATATCTATGCAATGCCTTTGCTCAGGTTAAAGAATGGAATAAAAGTCTAGCATCAAATGTATAGCTAACTATTTTAATTTGTGATCAGAGCAACTGGTATGTTTGTTGGATATGATTTTGTATGTTTATGTAGTTAATTCAAAAAACGTTTTATCCTTTGTTATGTAATATGTAACATTTTTTATATATATTAGATCTCCGTTCAATTTTTATCATCAAAAGTTAGTTCTACCTTCGCAGGACCTCTGCTCTACATACCTCCTCTCTGGTTAAAGAATGGAATATAAGTCTCATTTATCAAGTTGGTGTAAAAATTTAGCTTGATAAATTAAGAAGTTGTAAACTTTATTATCACAATTGCCAAGTTGACCAAATGTTCTTCTGGTTTTAAATGAATTATGTATGAGTCTAGTATCATCTGGGTGTTCAAAGATAGTTTACTGCTTGAAGAACTTATCAATGGACCAACTAATTATAAAACAGTTTTTAATGAAAATAAAAACGAATTATCAAAAGATTTAAATCAGCTATTTGTGTATATTTAAACACTTTATTTTTTGTGAGAAGAGATTATTGATACAAGTACCATAAAATAATTCTACTACCAAAAGCTAGGTTAATTCAAAACCTTTAACTCAATTTTGGTCATGAATTATTTTATTAGAATTGATGAGTTTTTATTTATTAACTACCTAACACCATATTATTAGAACTTTATTTTGTAATGTAATGATTTTATCAGTGTTCCAAAATAATTTTCTAAATCAAGAACTTCTATATTAAAAAAAGTACTCATTTAACAACTAATCCCCCCTTATAACGACGTTTTTCATAATTTTGCGAAAAATGTGGTTTGCTTTCACAATTCGATTAAGGCTGTTTTAGTTAACCTTAAATAATTAAGTAAGGTTTTTTTGTTTTCATTATTGTCAAACAATAAGTGTATTTGATAATAACTATTAGGAATATATTTTTCTAATTTTTTTTTTGATAAAAAGTAACATCAAATTACAAAAATTTAGCCAAATTCAATATATGTCATATTTATTCTAAACTAAAAGAAGTTTTTTTACTAATGCATTAAATGTCATAAGGTAAAACATTTTATTGATGTCTTAATTGTTTTTACAAAACAAAATTACCTCTTATATTTCAAAAGTTATAAAAGTTTTAGTAACACCCCTTAAGTTAATATTTTCAAAAATTAACAAGAAGCCGTTAAGCTCGGTTTGAAACAGCCGTGTTTATTATACGAATCATAAGCATGTGCTTATCTATTACAAGTACATTTTAAAACGTTGAAATAAACGTCGATTATAAAATTAAAGGTTATCTGTTTCTACCTTCGATGGTGAAAATTACATCTTTTATCTGAAGGGTGTTAAGAGAAATCGTAAGAGTTTTATAACATATTAAAAATAATGTATGTGTTACCTATAAAAATTAAAAACTTAAAGTTAAATTTAATTTTTTTACAGTTCATATTGAAACAAGATATTGTGTAAAGAGGTTTTCAAAGAAGTCGTTTTAACAACAATGGAAAAGCTTCCAATTCCTGAGATAACCGTGAAAGCATTCGATACATGATTAAAGAATCGTTTAAAAGTTTGCTTAATTTCGACAGTGTAATTTTAATTACTATTTTTTTGAAATAAACCAATCAATTTATATATAAATTTGCTTTTTCTGTAAATTTTAAACATTTAAACGTAGCTTTGCAAGATTTGCAATGGGTAAAACTCGTGGGATTCTCACGAGATACCCGGCGGACATACCCATATGGGCCCCAGACGAAAACCGCGGCCAAGATCCGGCGGGTTCCCGATGGGTTTCCCATATGGGTCCCATTTGAAAACCCATATGGGTCCCTTACGGTTTTAAAGTACGGGATTTGACTGGGACCCATACGGAATACCCAGCGGGCTCATCCATATGGGTCCCATATATAAACCGCGGCCATGATCCGGCGGGATACCGTTGGGCTTCCCATACGGGACCCAGTTGACGACCCGTATAGGCCCCGTACGGTACCCGTATCTCAATGTTAGCTGGGTAGAGAAGAGTTTTATAAATCTTTTGGGATGTCTTATCATTTTGTCGCGCAGTGTAGCAAATTATAATATAATTTATATTAATCATTAAAATATAATATATATTGATGATTGTCTAAAATATATTTATTCATGCAGTGTAGAAAACACAGATAATTTTGTAACATATTAGTTTATCTTAAAAAATGTAAAATATTATTAATGTTATTAATTTAATTTCTAGATAATTTTTAAGAGAATGTTGCTACAGAAAATTACATCAATGTTGAAAACAGTGAAGGTTTATATTATTCTGTGATAGAATGTGATAAAAAAGACTTTCGTCACAATCTGGGGCCAGCAGGCTTAAAAAATGTAAAATATTATTAATGTTATTAATTTAATTTCTAGATAATTGTTAGCTGGGTATTTGTGCATGTCACGTTTGTGACATGCACAAATACCCAGCTAACATTGACATACGGGTACCGTACGGGGCCCATACGGGTTGTCAACTGGGTCCCGTATGGAAAGACCAACGGTATCCCGCCGGATCATGACCGTGGTATCCATATGGGGCCAATATGGGTGAGCCCGCCGGGTATCCCGTATGGGTCCCAGTCAAATCCCGTACTTTAAAACCGTAAGGGACCCATTTGGGTTTGCAAATGGGTTCCATATGGAAAACCCAACAGGAACTTAGCCGCGGTTTAGCTGGGGCCCATATGGGTATGCCCGCCGGGTATCCCGTGAGGATCCCACGAGGTTTACACATTGCAAATCTTGCAAAACTACGTTTAAATGTTTAAAATTTACAGAAAAAGCAAATTTATATATAACTTAATTGGTTTATTTCAAAAAAATAGTAATTAAAATTATACTGTCGAAATTAAGCAAACTTTTAAACGATTCTTTAATCATGTATCGAATGCCTTAAAGGGTAACCTCGAGAATTAAGGCTTTTCCATTGTTGTTAAAACAACTTCTTTGAAAACCTCTATACACAATATCTTGTTTCAATATGAGCTGTAGAAAAATTATATAAACTGTTAGTTATAAATTTTATAGGTACAACATTCATTGTCTTTAATATGTTATAAAACTCTTACAATTTCTCATTCTTCACTCTTCAGATAAAAAATGTAATTTTTACCATCGAACGTAGAAAAACATAACCTTTAATTTTATAATCGACGTTTATTTTAACGTTTTAAAATGTACTTATAAGAGATAAACCCATGCTTATGATTCATATAATAAATTGATAATGTTCCTTTATTTACTGTTAAATAAATTATATAAAATTATTAAATAAATATAATTTTATATTTATACTGCCCAGCCAACATTGACAGACGGGTACCGTATGGTTTTTGTCTGGGCTTACGGAAACGGGATTTTGACGGGTAAGTGTTTTGGTTTCCAGACGGGTCCCATATGGTAATAAAATCAAGCATATTTGTTCGTTAGGGTTTTATCTGGTTTTTATCAGGGCCGAATAACCTGGGGATTTGACGGGTTTCCCATAAGGTTCCCAAAAGGTTTTTAAAAAATCATACTCGATGGTTGCCATTTTTAATTCGTATTGTGCGTGAAATAAGATTAAAAATTTAACTTTTATGCATTACATTTTTTGAATACATTATATTTACATTGTAATTAAAAAGAATTTTTTTTTTTATGTGTTTTGTCACTGTAAAACTCAGTTAAAAAGACGCTGTTTTAAAATTTCATTTATTTATTATCATTATAAAAGAATTTTTATATATTATATACATATATATATATACATATATACTATTTTTTAAATGAATTTACAAAGTTCAACATATTTGTTGAACATGTGTTCCAGAAACTATTAAACATGTAGTAAATGCTCCATTGAGACACAGTTTGAATTTTTAAAATGATCAAAATATAAAGTTTTGTTTCTGCTAGTCACTAGCAGAAACAAAACTTTAGTTTAAACTGAGTTTAATCAAAATATTAGTTTAGTCAGAAACATTTAAAAAGAGCAAACAGGCGAATAGAATGTAATGGATAGGTTATATTTAGGGAATTAAAAGCTTTTAAATTGTTTTTACAGATCCACTCTTTTCCATTGATTTTTCTATATTTTATGCAAGCAAAATGACTGATGTTAACGAAGTTTACCCACCGTCAGATATAAATAAAGATATAATTAGATGTTTAAATGCAAAAATATGGCTTTATTGTTATGCATCAACCTCATTTTTTAATCATTGATATTTTTTGATTTTGATTTAAAATTGTACACTTGCAATATAAACAATAATTTCATAATATACATAATAATAACTTATACTTACAATACCTATACTTGTAAATACTTGTAATATAATACTTATGTTTATAATACTGATAAAAAATTTTATTGATATAAACTTTTGCATTCAAACTTTAGTTATAAAACTTTAATTTAACTTGATAACTTTAACATAAATAACAATAACTAAAAAAAGATGTTAGTTATTATATAGATTATAACCATATGCTTATTTATTATAATTGAGTTACAGTAAGTTAAACAATATAAAATGTTAAGTTCCAGGCAATAGGTCTTATATGATATGTATTATATGTATATCTTGTATTTTGCAGCATGTTAAAGAATATTTCTGCATGGTGCACTCTGACTGTTGACAATATTTGCATATTGATATGAGTAAAAGTGACTTCAACAACCAGAATGTGTTTTTGATAAATATTAATAATAACAGGTTAGTAAATATAATTATAGTAATAATGGCAATAACTTTTTATTATTAGAGTTAGTGAGAGACTTATGTATAATAGAGCTACATTAACTTTGGGGGACAAATATAATAACTTGAATAAATATTACCGTTGTTTATAACCTTGATTAGAGTAATGTAAGTAAATATTATTTTTATCTAAAGAATATTCGACTAAAGTCAGTATTTCCTAAGTATTAAATATTATAAAAAAACATGTGTTTAAAAATTTTATTTTAAATGTATCATAAAATAAAAAAATAAGTATTTAAGTATAAAAAAAAGAAACACATTTATTAGTATAATGTATATACATCACATTAACTATGTTGTCTATAAAGTAGGGGTTGCAGCTGATATTTCAGCTTCAGCTATAAACTCATTAGCTTCAGATTAATGCTGAAGCTGATCAAGTCAGTTTAATCATCTTGATAGCTGATAGTAAAAGAGAATAATACTCCATAAATATTTTATATAAAATATATTTTTATATAGGAATTTATTCAATGAAAATCTAAAATAGTGACAAAATTTAAGCATACATGTAAATTTTAAATAAAATTTGCCAAAAGTTGTTGCTATTTATAAATGTTGCCATCAGAGCCTAGGCCTAGGACTTACAAAATTAGGGGACCCAAATTATGTTTTTAGAAATTTGTTTAAAAAGTTGTGCCCAAAAATCTAATTCCATTTTTTATTATCTTAAGGGGACCAACTATCTTTTGTTCAAAAAGAGTACACTTTGCAAGTATTTCATAGGTAAAAAAAAAAAAAAGAAAGATAAAACGATAAAAATCTTTATTTTTTTTTTTAAAACATATTTTTCGTCAGAGTGGATTTTTTTTGCTAGATGAGGATGTTCATCTAATAATGTAGCTGCATCCGAACATTAAATTTCATATTAAATTTGACTGCATATAATGTTTTTACAGAAAGTTGCAACTTCTCACTGCTCCAATAATCATTTCTTAGTGAAAATACCTTTTCAACAGCAGCATTAGTGCCTGGACAACATAAAGAAATTTCTGTTAAAACTTTTAAATTTTCATGTGGGATATGTTCTACTCTAAAATGCTGAAAGATTTCTACCCATCTTTTTTCAAGTTCTATTTTCTCATTGTTCCGTTTCTTCAATTTTTCTTCATTTAAAAATAAATTTACTCTTCCAATTTCTTCAAAAAGAAAATTGTCATTAATAACAATATCTTTTACTTTCTTTATTACAAATTCGACTGCTGAAGAAACTTTTTTCCATTAAATTTTACTATTTCTCTTAGCGTTACTCTTTTATATTTTTGTGTTAATATTAACTTTTTAAATAGTATTGTTCCTTATACTTTTTTTTTTATTACTTATATTAATGTAGGTTTCTTTCTTTCTTATTATTTTTTATTTTATTTGTTTATTTTATGAAGGTGTCGCTCCATTGACTTAAACATAAATTTGGAAATTATAATTAAGTTTGTAATTTTTGATTTTATGGTTAGTTAACCAAATGGGCATGCGTAGTATGTTCAGTAAAGTTTTTGTTATCCTTTTATTTAATTAAATAAATGGATAAAAAACTTTGCTGTACATTCTACGCATGCCTCAAGACTGTCAAGCATGGCGTACATACTGCACATCAAAGATCAGCCTGGGGATTACATATGCAAATGTTGGATCCATCTCTTTTCACAAATGTAGTTTTGACATTGTTAGAAAAAGAGGTCTGTAGTATCTATCTATCTCTCCAGGTTCATAATACGGCCTCTCAATTGTGTTGAAAATGGCAGCCATATGTGCATTCAAAATTTAAATCACTGTCAAACTTGTATCTGGTGTTTGCCCTGTCCTCTGATGTGCTGGAAACGGCAAGCAATATTTGCGTATGAAATTCAAATCACTGTC